TACTCGTTTTGGGGTTGATTTACGGGAAGCAAAAGGAAGACTACGAAGCCGAATTTGGGACAAACCCATATTGCTGCGTTGTGGTGTTGCTGCAGCACCAAGTCTTGGCGGTGTCAGTTCCAACAGCAATTTTGAGAGCCCCTTGACATGTTCAGCTTAAGCGACCCAGTGACCCTAGCAGCAACGTTTTTTTTGTTTTGTTTTTTAGTTTGATCATTGGCGAGTGGGTTTTGCCTCTTTAAGGGCGGATCAGGGAACCCTTGGTGGTTCTGACTTGCGGTTTGGGGGTTTGAACACCTGGGCAAATGGGCGAAATCCGGCCACGAACCAACGCAAACCTCCAAGAGGTTCGCCTCTTCTTGGTGGCTTTCAGCCATCCCCTTAGCTTTTTTTAGAATTGTTGGTTGGTTTAGTGGTTGGGTTTCCAAATTGTTAACCCGCCAACAGTTTTTGGGTTGGCTTCGTGGTTGGTTTCTGACCCTTTAACTCACTAAGAGTTTTCGTCACTATTAGCGCGGATCAGAAAACGGGCAGCGGGTGGTCTTGTGGTTGCCACCGGGTGCGCTGGGAGCTCAGGTTGTCCGCATCACCGGTGGGCGCCTTGCACTGGTCGAGGAGGAGCAGATTCTGGATGACGGCGGGGCGCTTAAGTTGCCTTCGCTCTGCAACTTTTGTTTTTTTTGGTTGGGGGTGGGGGGTGGGGGTGGACTCTGTTTTGTTTTTCTTTTTCTTTTTTTGCAGGGGGTCCTTTTTTTTCTTTTCTTTTTTGGGGGGGGGGAATTTGGTAGACTTGAACTTCGCTCAGCCTTTTGTTTTGGGGGAGGGTGGTCAACAAAAATGGCACCCTGCCCAACTTTGATTTCTGATCCGTCCCCCAGGATGCCAACGCTTTTTTCTTATTACTTTTCTTTTATACCATAATTAGTTCTGTTTTATGTTAGTTCCCAGTTTTGGGGATGGTCCTACAAAGCAAGCTGAATGACACCAGCCAGGTTTGGGGCCCATTCCACTCCTCTTCTGGAGCCTCCGGATGTCTTTGGTTGGGGTCTTGCCTTTGTTCCGGCCCCTCTTCCGAGCTGATCCATGGAGCAGCTCTTGGGCTTCACCCTTTTAAGCTTGGTGGAAGAAGAAGAAGAAGAAGAAGAAGAAAAAGAAGAAGAAGAAGAAGCTAAGAAGAAGAAGAAGAAGAAGAAGAAGAAGAAGAAGAAGAAGAAGAAGAAGAAGAAGAAGAAGAAGCTAAGAAGAAGAACATGATGATGATGATGATGATGATGATGATCATGATGACGATGACGACGATGACGATGACGATGACGACGACGATGACGATGACGATGGTGATGGTGATGATGATGGTGGCGATGATGAACAGGAACGCTGGGCTCTGAAAGTGGTTGCATTTTGAAGGGTTCTCAACCTTACATTTGGAGGATGTTTCCCTGTAAGCCACAAAGCCACAGGATGTGAAGCTTGCGATGTTGTCCCGCTCGCTTGGAGCGTCGTGAGCGCACCCTTTTCACCTCAGAATCGATGTGGCCATGGTTCAAAACCCCGTCCCCCCAGTGACCATCCCCATCCCCACTAAAATAAAGTCAAAAATGGTGCACCTACCAACCAAAATGGGATCCCAAAACGGTCTTGACCACCACAGCCATGTCACTTTCATGGAAGAAGTCGGACCCAGATCATCAGATCCCAGGACTCGCGTTCTCATTTCAACTCGAGGTCGGCGGCGCCGCTTCATGCACCGCAAGCTGCATGGCAAGTTGATGCGGAAGGAGGCCAGGAACTGTCTCATGGGTGGGGGGCAAGAAGCAGTTTGACCGGCTACCCTCCCACCAACGAACATGGAAGTGCAAGAAGGCCAACTGACCAAGAGGAAAGCAGTCTTTCTACAGGGGTCTGTGCACAAACCCATGTTAGCTGGTGGGAGGGTAAATCTTTTGTTTTTTTGAAAGGACGCCCAACGGGACATCTGCTAAAGCAAGAGGCATGACACATGTTTAAACAGGGGGTTGCCCAACTCTCTCCTTAGAACCCGAAGCCATTGGTTTTTGGAGGCAGCTGCTTTTGGGGGCCCGCAACGGGTTGGGGCGTGACCTCACGCGAGTTCCTGGGGTTCGATGCGGGAATTGGGCAATTGGAGACCTGGGCAGATTTGGGCAGATGCAGATTGGAGACCTGAGAAACTTGGCAATTTGAGGCTCGGTAGCCTTTTAGCCTTTTGGAAGGGAATCAAAAGAGAAAAAGAGAGAGAGAGAGAGAGCGCTCATGATGGGAGTGACAGATATGGAGGACCAAGCCTAAAGCTAAAAGAAGAGGGCTCCAGTTGTCTGAAGCGCGAAGACTCCTGAGCATAGTTGTCGTCTTCGGTGAGTCTGGCTGAACATCGATAGATTCCAGTGATCTAGTGCTTCCCATCTGCAATTCATTTGTTTCCAAGGACACAAATAGGGATCCAATGATCCCATGAGAGGTGGGTGGTTTCCTTCAAGTTTCCCTGCTAAACACCCCCATTTGGGTGTCGGCACCCTTTTAGGAAGCCAATTCGGACAAGCGAAGCCATTTTTTGGGGTCCGATTCCCGAAAAAAGGACACAGCTACATGGAAGCTGGACAAATGGTTTCTTCGATAACCACCATGTCGGGGGGCCCTACAAAAAGACACACACACACACACACTGGTTCCACGTGGGTTTGTCTTTGCTTCGAAATCGGACTCCTCCAAACTGGTGGGTTTTTTGTTGGTTTCCCTTCAAAACAGCCAAAGAAGGGGTCCCCCCCCAAAAAAAACACACCAAAAAACAAACGAACACCCATGTTGGGCTCTTCGACCTCCACCCGCGCAAAAAAACCTGCCTAGTCTGCCATTCGCGGTGCCTGGCGATGTGTGCGCGAGCGCCTGGGCTTGGTCGGGAGCCTGGCACACCGACCTTGGGTGGTAGAAGTGGGTATCAGTCAAAATGAAGCCACCAGGAATTGGACCGCAGGTTAAATCGTCCATGTTTCCATGTACCAGGGTTCGATTTTGGGGTTACCATATCTTTGACAACCACAGCCAAGTCTTGTTTTGGAATGCTCAAATGATTGATGTCCACTCCAAACAGGCGCCAACAGCTCGCAGGGGTCTTTAGAGGACCCTCTTTTGGTTATTTTGAAAGGACAGCTGGGAAGCCGGGTCAATATTCACTGTCATCCACTGTGGCTGAGGGCGTGGAGACCAAATCAGGCAATGTGTTGCTCACCAAAATCCAGACTGCGTCGGGGGACACAGCGAATATAGAAACATATATATATATATATATAATATCTATATATATATATACACATTGAGAGACAGAGAGAGCGAGACTGCTTCACATCTCCTTGGTTCCTGTGTGCGTTTTTTACCGCGCTCACGCCGCAGCTTTGGCTTCAGCTTGCAGGCAGATCGGTTGCTTCAGCCTGCCGCTGGAAACTAATTCTGCTCAAGACCTTATGGCTGTGTCTGTTTTTTGGGAACCCCTTTTTGGTGTCAAAAGGGAACCAGCAGCAAAATCAGTCGGTGAGGGGTCCGATTCCTATTTAAAGACAAAGCCTTACACCCAGCCACTATGATAGTAAGTCACCAGAGTTCCTTACCTCTAGGTTTTACAGGATGGTTTCCCCTGGTCACCAATAGTTGTAACTGGAAGCATTGGGATACAATAAGCTCAACAATGCAAATCTCATGTCTTGAATGAACACTGACCCAGGTGGCGCGCCGCAAGCTGGCTTTCCGAGAATTGAGCGCCATAGAGGCTAAGCAGGCACCGCTCTCCAGGCATCCGAGACGCGGAGCGCAGGTCTCCCCAAGCTTGCGACTTTGCCATGGGCCGACATGGAGGGATCAACATCCTGCACCAGAAGTCATGGCACGTTTGGCGCATGGAGACTCGGCAAAGCCGAAAGCAGAGTCTCCATGGGATCCAATCCAAGGGGCCGAAAGCGTTTTGGGGGCCGACTGCCAGTGAGGATCAGTTTGACCCAAGGTCCATGTGAGGCACTTGGCTTGAAGAAGACCCCTCTGATCAACTCTGCCGGGCGGATGCCGGTTGATCAACCGAATCACCACAGATCGACCTCCGATGAGCTGAGCAAGCCCCTCTCTTTTTTTTCCTTCTCTGGGCTGCTAGGGGTGGTTCTACTTGATTCATTCCATGGGGGCATAGTGCAGCCTACAGTAAACCTTCAAACTTATGACCACCTTGGTATTTCATAGAGCCAACAGATAGGTGAACAAAATAAAAGGCGCTTCTTGCTTCACAAGAAGAATCCATGCAGCATTTGCATGGGAGGGGGAACCAGTGCTTGAGTGGCACTGGTGGTGGCACTGCCGGCTGAAGCTCGACGCTGCTTGGCATGTGACTTTCCGAGGACAACCGCCTCCGGGTGGAGAGGGACGAGCTCCAACATGCCGCCAAAGTGCAGGAGCAGCAGGCTGCAGAGAGGAGGGAGGCGAGCTTGCCGGGCTGATGTTTTTTTTTGGGCCAGGGGCAGGGTGAGAGGCAACTGAGCTGACCTTTTTTAAGGGGGGAGGAGGGGAGGAGGGAGGGACAACCCAAATTTGCGACGAGAGAAGACACTTTCGGGAGACAAGTCGTTTTGTCCGTTGCTCATTTGGAGAACTGGGAATCTTTCGCTAATATTCAATATGGCCAACGCAGACAAAGTGGAGAGGAGGCCTTTACCGGGGACCGTGCTTCCAAAGCGTGTCCAACATGTCTGTTGGAAAGAGGAATGCAAAGTTGGAGACAAAACCGCTTGCACGGAGAAGACGTGCCAGGCGTTTGACAGCAAGCTCTCAAAGCTACGCAGTGCTGCGGGTGTGCCAGAGCCACGTGCCGTGGTCAAGGTGGGCTCGAGGGTTTCCTTTTGTGGCTTCCTGAGAAGCGACGACCATCCGGAAGGGGTTTTTCAATGTCCCCGAAATGGCAGTTTCAAATGGAACCCAGAGGCCAATTCTTGAAGGGGAGCTCCAGTCAGTGCTCTCTGTGTGAAAGGGCATCGATCCGCCCATTTTTGGATCAATTCCCTGAGCGTGGAAGTGGTGCCAAGCCTCTTTCGCAGGCTCCCGTCCAGGAAAGCCGAACACAAGGCGCGGAGCACAAAGGGGCGGGGGGCGTCACTGGCGCGCCGACTTCTGGATCTGACTTAACTTGCGATCGGTGCGAGTTGGCGATCGGTGCGAGAGGTAGGGAATGAGAAATGGCACGCACCCAGGCTTTGGTCTCCTTAAAGGACACCACCAAGTTGCAGAGTTTATCGGCTCCATTTCTCATTCCCTGCTGAGCATCAGCAAGTTAATCATTGAAGATGCAGAGATACAGATTCAGACATTGACCTCCGGAGTCGTTTGTTCAAGGGCACGCCTGGGAGTCTTTCTGGGTACGCCTTTTAGGGTTGCTTTGCAGGGAAGCCAAATAGAAGCCACCCAAGGCTCCCCCATTGAAAGGCGCGGGTCGGTTTTCGCCTTGCAGGTGACGACTACGGCAAGTATGGAGTCACCACCTCCAATCTCAAGCAGGCTGAAAGCCATTTGAAGACTTCTCTTCAAAGCCGCTCACGGGAGGCCGGACTTGATGGAGCGACACGCTGAAGCTGAGTTGCTCTTGGGGAGAAGCTTCGGTTTGGGAGGTCCGCATGTTTTGGTCCACAGGGTCTGTTTCCCATTTGGTATGGGTCAAAATTAAGCCATCAAGACACCGCAGATTTTAGTCTATCTGTTTCCATCGACCAGGGTTCCGTTATTAATACCAGTTTTTTGATCCACAGCCGATTGAAATTAGAGCCCAGCTGAGCCTCGCCGACAAAATCTGACGCTGAGCGGCACCGGATGGATGAAGGGCCTGAGCTGGATGGGGGGACTCCGTAGAAAACTGGCAGCTTGGTCGGCCGCAAATGGGGTCGCGTCGTCAGGGTCTCAGAGTCTTTGGGATTTTCGCAGGGCAGCTACTGGGGCAAGGAAGGCCTCGGCAGCGGGCCGCACATCAACCTGAGCCTTGGCAGATGCGCCCCTGCGGGGATAGGGGATGCTGGTTAGCAGGCGTTTCAATGTGGGCCTCTGAATAATAAACTTTAGGACTTCCATTTTCCATTTCCAAGCTCCAAGGCCAAGGTGGCCGTGCTATGAGGCAAATTCAAGGGCGCCCCCATCAATGGCGAGGCCTCCCGCCTGTTCATCAGAGAGGTCCCCCTTTTTTCCGTGGGGATTCCTTTCTTCCAGAAATGCCCTGCTTAAGGACTGGGGTTTATGAGTCAAAAAACTCGTCCAAAACTCGGGACCGGACTGAGGAAACTGGGGCCGGAACAGGTCGAGCCAGAAAAAAAAAAACAGGTACTTGGAGGGTAATGTTCACCCCGGATGAATAACCCCCCGGGCTTATTAATAGGGGGGTGTCCAATTCCTTTTAGTGGGGATTCAGACCACTTTGCCCCCCTAATCATGGGACGGGGGTATTACTCCTGGGTCAACAAGGGACACTCCCCCTGCCATCATGGGTGCCATTTCTGAAGCCTGAGCTGGGTAGAGATCCGACCCTTTGAACCCCGACTCTTCCTTTCTAGAAAACCGCCAAAAGCCCCGGGGAAATGGCGATCGGCTTCTGAAAAGAACGATGGCTGAGAAGAGCTTTTCCAAGGAATAAACCCTTATCAACATATCTGGTCGGAAGATCTGGTATCAAGCCGATCTCGAAGAAGCCAACATCTAGAGACTTCTTCTTCACCACGCCTCTTCCCCAGAATTAATTCGCTCCCCCCCTTCTTTTTGGGGGGGGGGTTGTTCCCTTGGTTTTTTCTTTACTCCCCAGGCAGAAAAAAAGGAGAGATCTTCTTGCGGTCCGGTCGGGCTCTTCCAAGGCTTGGCTTCCGGGTCCCGGGTCCCGGGCCCCGGGCCCATGTTGGGTTTTGAGGGGCTGAGTGAGGTTCGAAGGGGCGGAGCTGGAAGTTCAGCGCCAGGCCACTGCGCGGCTTGGAGAGCAGGGCTTTTTTTTTGTTGTTGTTGTTTTTTTTTTTTTTTTTTTTTTTTTTTTTTTTTTTTCCATGTTATTTATTTATTTATTAATGTATTTATTTATTTATTTATGTGTTTATTTATTTATTTATTTATTAATTTATTTATTTATTTATGTGTTTATGTATTTATTTATTAATTTATTTATTATTATTCTTCTTATTCTTCTGATTTTTGTAGGCGGAGGGGAGTTGGGGGAGGGGAGGATGTTCAAACCAGCTTTCCTCTGACTGGAGCCGAATCGGTGGTTTGGGATTGTGTTCTGGAGGGGTTTCCCACTGCCTCTACCAAAAGCCAGGGGTTCAAGTCGACCACTGATCCAAAACACCAACTAAGGCTTAGCTGATCAGACTCCCTGGATTTGTGGTTTGGGATTTGAACCCCTGGTTTTCTTGTAGAAGGTACATGGGAAACCCCCTGCGGAGCACCACCAGGCTTACCAAACCGATCTCAGCACCAAGGGGGAAGCTGAGGATGCGTGTTCCGTGTTGGAGAAAAGCGGCCCTTGACCTGTGACATGTCATGGAGAGGAAGTGGCCAAAGTCCGTGGGGAGGTCCAAGTTCCTAGTTTGGACACATACCCAGATTTTAGTTCCTCCAGTTTGCAAATCATTGGAATTGTAACATCCCTTAAAGATGTGCTTCCTTTGTCTTGTGGAAGCTGGTTATGATTTTAAACATGTTGGCGATGAATTTCATGTATGGGTGGCTCGTCTTTTTTGGAGTTGGTACCCTTTTTGTTCGTCTTAAAGGGAACCCCCAAACAAACCAACAATTTTGTGGGGTTTGCTAGGACACACCAACAAAATCAACCAGTTCGGGGATGTGGGGAAACGCCCTCTGGACCTTATAGGAATGGAAGGCCTTGCGTCAAAGGTTTTCACCCCCGATCCACCTTCAAGGGAATAAAGCCTTGCAGAAAGGTTACCATATTTTTTTGGGTGTTGCTTTGGGGGTAGTGGTTTGGGGGTAGTGGAAACCCTGGGCTGTGCGTTCTTTGCATAGGCATGGCAAGCTGCTGCGTTACCAAGAGACCAACAACGGCCTCGCGGAGGCTTGGCTGCATGACCGCGCCTCCATGCTTTTTTTTTGAGCTCCTCGAAATTTTGGTATTGCGTCCTTTTCGCGTTTGGGATTGCACTCGCTGAAAAATCACCAAAACCTTCCCCAACAGGGTTGCCCTTCCACCAATCAACATGGAACCTCCCTATAATGGCAATTGCTGGCCCACAATCTGTTCATTTGTTTTGAGAACCATATTGACTAACGTTGTTAGCATGGCATGTTGGTTGTTACATCATGTATATGTATATATATATATATATTTCTAAATAAGTAAATAAATAAATAAAAACGTAGATACATAAATAAACTAAAATAAATTAAATAAATAAAACACAATAAATAAATAAATACATAAAATAAATAGTTAAATCAGTAAATACATAAACTACATGTAAACATAAAAACATAAACTAAAATAACTAATTAAATAATTGTAAACACTGCACGTTGCCCGCCTCGGCAAAGCCGAGCGCGCAGCGTCTGTGGTTCGACTGCAAGCAGCAGAGCTGGTCAGTGGCGATTCAGGCATGGACAGGTTCTGGCCTGGTTGGATCAATCGATGTCATGGGCCTGCAGGAATCCCCGTGGCGATGCGCAGGACCAGGAGTGAGGGATGAGCCTTGCTTGGGTGGGTGCTGGTTGGGCTGGGCCTGGGTTTGCTGGTTCAAATAATAGGCGGCCGTGCCGCGCTGGGCCGCCTGGAGCCTGGGCTGGGCCTTGCTTGGGCGGGGCGTCAGACAGGCCTGGCCAGCAGGAGGTCATGCTTTTCGCGAAGCAAATTCCATATAGGTATTTCATAGGCAAGCGCACATAATCGCTCTAGACTACCTTTACTTCTAGGGGTTGATTCCCCATTTGTTCAACCATCAATCTTTTCAAAAACCAGCTGTTTCCCCAGGGTTGTGGGCGGTTTTTTAGAAAGAAGGATGCCTGGAAAGAATGGGGAAGGTACCCCTAGTTTGGTAAAAGAACACGCGCGTCACTGGGTGAAACTTGGACGGCGCAAAGGAGAAATCCCAGAAGCGGCCGCTGTCGGAGTTCGATGAGATGGCGCAGGAGCAGCCCTGGTACATGAAGGCGGCGGTACATGGTTGTGGAAAATAGGGGGGGGGTCTGTGATACTGAGGAAACCGCCTTTCAAGTGATAAGGCAGTCAGGAGGCATGGCACATTTTGGGTTTGCACTCGTGGGTGTTGGACGCACGCGACCTCCTTGGCCAACAAACCGACCAGAAGAGGTACCCTGCCCTAATCGAAGGGACCAAAGCTGCCTCCAAAGTCGGACAGCCGATAGGGTTGAATGGCTTAGGGCCTGTTTGCTTCTTGTTGGCTTGGAAGGACAGCCACAAATAAACTGACCCAAGCCCCGAGGCTATCTTCGGCCATCCGTAGCCATAAGGGCATGAATTTCAATCGGAAACGAACCTTAAACCGGTTTCCGCCCCCAGGAGACGTAGGCTCATTCGAGGGTCGTCTCCGAATTGGGTGGTTTGCTTTTTTGCACATGGGATGCTTCATAGCAGCCCTGTGATGTCCCTCTCAAGACAACACCCCATTTCATATTCAGACATTCCCCACAAGTTACATGGTGACCAACCCCATTGAACCCTCCTGGAAACCATGCACTTCGGGTTACCAACCATTCCAACGTCGAAATGAAGGCAACCATCCAACAACCTCTTGCACCCCCCCCGGGGCCAGGACCTAAGAAGACTTTTCCTCCAATGCGCATTGCGTTGCGCCGTCAGGCGGAGCGTCCGCTGGCCGTGGCTGAGGCGGTTGAGGAGGCGTCACAGGGTTTAAACCTGCGAGTCTTTGGTGCGTTTTGCTTGGATGATAGAACTTTAACCAGGGGAGCAGAAGGCAACCGAGAAGCACACACACAGCCTACGTTGCCCATCTCGGAGGGCAGGTGTTGCTCGAATCATTTGGCAGTGGACGCGTCCAAGATGAGGACCCTTCTTTTTCGAAGCCTCAGCTGAGCAGTTCACCCCCCATTGGCCTGTTGGCCTATGGGCCCCGATTGACCATCTTGTCCTTCTTTACCCGGTTTCCACGGGCTGCGAGGGTTATATAAACCTCAAAATTATCATGGTAGGACCACAATTTCGGTTCATGGGACCCCACCCTTCGGTTTTATAGAAGTAGCAGATGCGCGCGCTCGCTGCCATGATGGTTCACCTGGACAGATTCCGCTTGAGGGGTGATGCAAGAAGCACCCAGCATGTGCGGCGCCATCAGTATGTCCATGCAGGGCATTGCGGGGGGACACGGCATTTGCACATAGCGGGACTCACATATTTGTTATCCATTTTTTTGTGTGGCAACCAAAGGCATAGGTCTCTTTGTGGAAATCTCCAAGTGAGCGCCTTTTCACGCTGCAACCTGGACCCCGCAAAAAGCCGTATCTTGGCAGGAGACAGCTGGGCCGACCAAGAAGTGGCGGAGGACCTTCGACTTTGTTGGTGACGCCTTTGGGGGGTGTCATCAAAGTTGGACGACCCTTCTCTTGCAGGTTGCTTCCCCAGAATTAGTTCTTTTTTTTTTTTTTTTTTTTTTTTTAGTTTTTTTTCCTTTTTTAGTTTTTTGCTTCTTTGGGGTCCCCTTTGTTTTTCACCCACCGGGCTCTTTTTTTTTGGCTGGGGTCCGAAGTCCAAGGTTGGGAGGAGCCGAAGGGAAGCCCTTCGGCGTCCAGGGGGCCCAATGGGCTGAGCGTTGGTCTTGAGCGTCTCCGGCGGAGTTCCGGGGTTGTTGGGGATACCACTTGGGCGTCTTTGCGTGGTTCATTTTTTCTGTTTTTTTTCTTTGTTGGATATATATATATATATATATATATATGTATTTTGGGAACACCCAGGTGCACAGGTGCCTGCGGCTCTTGCTTGAATTTGGCTCATTCGACTTGGGGCGCTTCAAAGACGCCAAACGGGGATCGGCCTTAGGAGAAATGGGCAACTGATGCTGAAAGTGGTTCCGGACGGCAAGCCGCAGGCGGGAGAGAACGAGCAAAAAGCGGCCGCCCCGCCCTGGCCAAACATCTAGTGTCTAAATGTTTAAATGGCCCTCAAGATTGTGTTGTTTTCTTTCCTTTTTTTTTTGTTCTCCTGGGATTGTACAACCACACAAGAAAGGGCACCAACTCCAACGAGCTTTTTTGGAGCCACCCGTTTGGACCCTGAGCCCTTTCAGGTCTGCGATCTCGTGTCTTCAGCCCTAGAAGATGCCGAGGGGAGGCAGGTGAAGCGGGCAGAACGCCCCAGGATCTGAACATGGGGCTCCCTGTTTCCCCTCTCCCCCCCCACCCCCTCCCCACTTGTCTTTGGACCCCCCACCCCTCTTCCTTTGTTTTGACCCCCTGCCCACCCTCCTTCCTTTATTTGACCCCCCTCCCTTTTGTGACCTCCCCGTTTTGCTTTGGACCCACCGTACTGGCGGTCTTCCTTTGGCTTCCCTTTGCTCTTGAAAAAGGACGAGCCTCCCAAAGGGATAGTTTCCTTTTGTTGTCCCTGCAAAACATCCGGGCTCGGGGCTCCCTTTGATATAGACCCATTTCTTCTGATGTTCACGCAACTTACATTTCAATGGTTGGCATATCCCTTAAAAGGACATGTCGCCGGAGGACATGTCGCTGGACGTACTGTGGATGGACGACTTCCTGCACCACCCAGAAACTCTTGTATGATGATTCTCCCTGAAAATAGAAGCAAGCAATGGTTTCACATGGTTTCAAACTTGTGCAGAATTTCGTCCATCCACAGTAGCTCCCTAAATCATGTCCACAAAATCCCCAATGAAGCTGAATGTCCTTCGAACCCGCCGCCGTGTGTTTGTACGGGCAGCCGCGTCCAAGCATGCCCTTTTGGTCCAAAAGATGCCCATTGCCAGGTCTCCAAAGGAAAAGAAGGCCAAGGAGGAGCCGGGACTTGTGCCTTAAACAAAAACCAACAAAACCAAAAGCAAAGAAGTCTTGTTCTGTCTTGTTTTGTTTGTCCGTGTTGTGTCTGTTTTTAGGGTCCAACCTTTTTGGGGTTGGTTTCAAGGTACCACTCCCCCCGATTTTGTGACACCTGGTGCGAGGAGAAGCGGAGAAGCAAGTGCCCTGGCTCAGGGGTGGAGCCGTGGGATTTTTTGGGGCTCGGCTCTTAGGGGGGCCCTTTACTTGGTGGTTTTTTACTTGGTGGTTTTTTGAGCCGTCCAAGTGGTTCCTTACGTTTTTCGATCTTTTGAGTTGGTGAAAGGTAGTTTTCTTGTTTTTTTCCTTTCTCCCCACGAACACTTGTCGATCAGAAAACGGACAGCCCAGTTTAGAGGTTGTTTCCTCATAAACCATCCAACTGCTGGTGGTTTCCTGAAGGGCCCTCCAAGTTGAGGGAAGACTCAGGTGAGTTGCCCTTTTGTGTTACA